TAGCCATAGCCATAGCTTTGCTCATTATACTTACTACCTACATATATATAGCTAATACATATATATCTAGCTTATATGTACGTGTGCAAGTAAGTATTTTGTACTTACAGATTTCATGCAAGACCCTTTATATAGAGCCACTGTAACGTAAACTTGAAATCCACGACTGACTTCACGTGGACATGCATGTATTACGTAAAACTTTTTGTAGTAATTCATTGTATTGAGCATATTAATTAATTTTTATTTTCTAGTTGACTAATCACTACTACATATATCTATGTATTATATATGTATGTGGGTGTCTGTATATATATATATATATGAGTCAAATTACTGATGATGAGTTTAAATATTAATATATGAATTAATTACACATTAACTGTTACCTGCATCTCTTCCTTTTACATTACTGGTGCCACAATTAACGCTAATTAACATTATTGTGTAAAGGATATTAACCAGAACCTTTTATTTTGCTTCCGCACTTATATTCTTTATATACATTTCTTTTTTAAATTTTCGGGGCCATTACAATAAAACTCAAAATTTATTGACATTTTCTAAAACTTTTAATTAGAGTTTATTTTTGAATCATATATAATTTTCTATGGATTATATAAAGTAATATCTTTAATTCTTTTTATCTGCATTAGACATCACATCAATATTATATATACACATAATATGATATCTCAAGTGCTTTTAAAATTGATTATATTATAAGATGCAAGTATTTATAACTTAATTTTCAATAATAGTTTTCTATTAAACCAAAAAGTTACAAAAAAAATGTTTGTACTTTTATTTTGGAGCCAAGAATAATAGTTTTCTATTATGTGTATTTAGTATTACTAGCCACGGATTAATTTGCCACACTGGTCCTATTATAGTTGTGTATAATTTTAGCCAACAACTTAATTGATCAATACAAACAAACTTTCTTTTTTAAAAAAAAAATATATATATATATATATATCAAATATATATGTGTGTGGTTGGAGCCACGAATATTGTACTTTTCTTAATTTACTGAGTTGCATTAATTAAGTACAGACATCATAATTTAGTTTACAAGTAATGAATAAATATTTATTTGTTTGAAGTTTATAATTTATAATTTTATTTGTAAAGGTTCGAAATTTAAAAAAAAAAAGACATAAATTGAATGCGAAAGCGGAATAATAGAGTTAGGATTTACATTCTTTACACAATAGTTTAAAATACTCAATAGGGTTACGAGAATGTCTCTTCTAAAAGAATAAATGAAAAGTAAACAACTGGACATCTTAGAACGACCTTCACTAGCTTTTGAAGGAGTATGAGTTGTGAACTAGTCACAACCTTTTTGTTGATCGAGAACTGGGTCTTGGTCCTCTTGATCTGAAATAGTTAATAAAAGGGTGAGCTATATTAACCCAGTAAGAATATCACACTACTCACTGATACAGAAACTGAAGGTTAGTAAAAATCATAAAAACAACTAATTTAGCTTTTGATTTAAGCAAATTCATTTATCATAAGGAAAACTATTTATTGCATGTATTTACCATTGCGAGATTTTTAAAATTGACCTATAGAGACAATAACTCAAATAACATTTCAATCTCATATTCAAGTGAGAAATAACAATAACTTTTCCTTTTTATTTCCCTACTGGTATTAGGGGCCCATATGGATGTTCCACTACGCGTGAATCAATATTCAACATTGTTTACTAACTAGCCGTCCCTATACCCCGTCCGGTATGAGCGCCAAAAATATCATCCATCAATACTCATCCGGTATAAGACAACGTTCACGATAGGGTTACTTATGTACCACGTCTGTCCACCATCTCCGAAAATATCCAATAAGGGTACCATTCATTAATGCACATGACCAATCAATTTTTCGTTTGCATATTAATTACCAATTTTACAATCAACTGTAATCACGCAAGATAAACAATATATATATCAAGGAAGTACAATCGAATCAATTAACCATTCCAGAATATCATCATATATTTAAAGCTGTAAATTAAACCATTAGTTAAACAGAACAACAAATAAATGACTAACCGATTTCCGGCTCCATTAGTAACCTATAATTATTTTCAAAATTTTTTAAATTACACAAAATACCATATTATTGATTATTAAGCTTCAATTCCATAACAGAGAATAAGATGAGAGATTCTTATCAAAATAGGTGTTCGAAACACTGAATTTTCAGGAGTCCCGATGAATCAGGACACACCGCGTGGCAATGGACACTGACGCGGTGCCACGTGGGAAGCCATGCGGGCAATCCGCGTGCCCGCGATCGAACGGTCTAGATCTGTTCCCGCGTGTACGAACGACCTGAATGCGTTCCCTCCCCAAACACGATCGGACAGTCAGATTTAAACGCGATTAGATGGTCCAGATTAGATCGTAATGAACGGTCCAGATTAGATCGCGATGAACGACCCAGATTCACTCCATATTTAATCGCGATCAGACGGTCCAGATCAAACGCGATGAATGACCCAGATTAAATGGGGACGGATATAAATAACCCTATTCACACCAAACTATAACCCTAGCTACCAGCCACTCTCGCTGGATAAGAAGACCCAGTCGTGGGGAATGAGAGCCGCCGCCACCTGTTGCCATGCTGAAGCTACTTCCAACGGCTAAAATTTTTTTTCCTTTCCTCGGAATTCAATTTTAAACACCCTCATGGCCAAATTAGAGCAAAAAGACTAGCTGGCCGAAAAATACGGGCAAAGCTCGGCGGTGCCGCCGTGAGGAATTTCACAAAACGCCTCCGATGATGCCCTTCCCAATTCTCATTCGACGTAATTTTTCAACCATTGTGATTACGGTTTCCTTCTTTACAGGTTGACCGGAACAAAACACCCAACAACAACGTGAACTGGAGGAGCCACCACACTAGAGAGCCCCGCCGTCGGTAAGTTTCAGTTTTTTATATTTTTTGGGCCAACCAAGGCCCCTTAACATATTTTTTCACAAAGATCGATGCAAAATCTGCTGAATTCGACCGAAAATGGCCAAAAATAGCCGACCCGAGGCGGACCGCAAGCGGTGGCGCCGTCGCCGGAGCACGGTGGAGCTGTCGTGCTGGAATTCTAGAATTGGCAAAAATTAGACCCTGAGGTTGATTTTGGATTTTTTGGGATATTTGTAGGTACTTATAGTGCATTTTAATTCCCAAAGAAAAATTCAGGAAACTCGGGAACCGCCAGTAGGCGCAGTCAACAGTTTAGCCTTTCGGCAATCAAATTGAATAAAAATTCCTCACCCTATTCTCTGTTATGAATTTGAAATCTAAATAAATGATAATACGGTATTTGTGTGATTTATAAAATATCTATAATTAATTAGGGGTTACTAATGGATCCAGAACCGGAAATTATTCTATATTGATGTCTGTCAATTTATTTTACAGTTTGAATGCATAATGATATCTGGTTTATCGATTTT